CTTAGTTTAAGGCAGTGTTACCGACACTACTATATTCAGGATATATTGACACTATAATTCGGCGCCTTTGGTGTCCCTTAGCCATTCATTAGCTCTGTTTTTCAGTACTCTATCTTTAACAGCTATGGCAGGAATGCAATGTTATCTTGACCCCTGTCGGAGGTCTTGGGCATCGGCTAAGTTGGTACCTACAGTTCCAAACTTCTACACCACAACCAACAAAAGACATTTTATTTTATAACTGTCATTGAACAATCGACCCAGTTTTTTGGGTTTACGACTACTAATGTTCTACTCCATAGTCCTGTAATTTTGAACCCAGTCCAAATAACAAAAGAATTCCTGGATTGGGAGAAATTTGCCTTCCTGGTAGACTCTTTGGAGGAACTAACCGGCATTCGCGTCACATGGAGAGGAAAACCACGCTACTACGTTTACGTTGACGTCAAGGGGACTCTAACCCATGATCCGTCTACCTCTGAGGATATTTTACAGCAGCACCGTGATCGGTGCAAGCCGAATGCGGAATTCGTGACGACCAACCATCACCGGGATTCGAACCCTGTTTACCTTATTGGAAGGCAAATGCTCTATTCCTCGAGCCTACAGTCTACAGTTAACATGTTTGAATTTAGATAGCCCTTACAAAATAAATCAATACAAGCGCCCGTTAAGACGTAAACATCAAAAATAACAACTGTAATAAAACCTGAAATGTTTCAGTATTTGGTGCAAAACACGTACATACTTTATACATCATAGTTTTTTTTTTAATTTCTGTGAAAATCTAACCTTTTGAAATCCCTAATAGAGTTATTATTATTCCTGTCTTATGGCCAAGCCATTAAGGCTATTTCATCATAACTTTTTTCATTACAGTATCTAACTTCACTTCCTATTTATTTTGATTTTGTCTCGAGTCGTCGCAATAAGTATAAAATACATGAACACGAACGAATCTCTTTAGTTATTTGAAGTCATCTGAAAAATAGAATTTTTCTTCTTTTCCTAAAGTGAAGAATTTCAAGCGTTTAAGAAATCTCTTATTGAAATTTAGGAAGTTAATAATAATTAAAAATTGTTAAAAGTAAAGTAAAACAAAAGAATAACTCAAATTAACATTTAGTTTAAGAAATAAAACGATTGCCTTATTTCAAATTTTATCGAATATTTTCCATGCTAATTTGGAATCCGTAATTTGTATAATACAAATTTCACAGGGATTTTAAATATATATATTTAAGGTGTATTTTGCGAAAAACTCTGTTAAAGTACTAATTGTGTAGAATTTAATAGAAAATCTCTGCAAATCATGACACTTTCTGTTATCTGAAAATTAAATAAGTTCAGTTTCTAACAATGGCTATTAAGGTATTTTTTAATTATATTCTTGTGTTCACAACTCTTTCAACAAAGATAGTAGATGCAGTTAAACAATTACAGTCAAAAGAAACAAATTATATGTAACTTAAAAGTATCCATTGTTGCAAGCTAATTTCAACAATTATTAAAAATCATTATTGAGTTCACTTTGCTTTTGGATTTCGTGTGTGAAGGTTATTTTTTGAATTTGAGTAAAAGTTTTTAAAGACTGATGAAATAAACGAAGCTGACCGAAGATGAAGATACGAAAGATGACTTAAAATTGTAAGTCACAGTGTTTCATTAAATATTTGTTTCATGAAATATAAAAGAAAAACGAAATAAAGTCAGCTAACGGTTTAATGATATTCAAAAATAAATGATATTCTTTCTTTCCAATGCATATAACTAGTTTTCAAATTAAACTACTTATGCGTTTGCTTGGTGTTTTCTAGAATACAATAGAGTTTAATAATTATAATTAATATATAGGAAACTATAAACATACCCTAAACGTGCGAAGTAGCAATCATGAAGAAATATAATATTTTTTTTTTCTTTTTGTGTAATTAGCGAGTATTGAAATTTAATTTTCAAGCATTTAATGGATTTAATTAATAAGTGTCACTATAAATTATCGACAACTATTTCTGCTTAAGGTGACCAAATTTTATTTCTGCTATTATAATTCTTCATTTTTTTGATAAAATTCTCCTACAGTGAGAAAAGATCTGGTAAAAATTTCACGGAAGGCAAAAGTATTGCTCAAAAATGATTTAATCAAAGTCATATTTCAGTCAAATTCATATTTTAAGGATCACAGTAAACACGTATTTTGAGCGTGAAAAAATAAAATTGCCTGTCTATTTTATTTCCTGCATTAGTAAATCAGCGTATTTAAGCCGCACCGCTTCAAATGTAGCATTTGCAATTTAATATGTGATTTCCCTATTGCAAAGTCGAAAACTGTGACGGACTATTGACCGGAATAAATTTTTTGAGCCAAACATAATAAGCAGAATATTAATAAAATTGTCGACAATTTAGACTTCACTAATGTTTCTCAGCCGATTATTTTCATTATTATCAGTATCTACTGATTTTATGATCCCCAAACAAACATTATTTTTCAATTGACATTTCCCTATTTTCTAACCTAGATTGAACATTTTTTTGGTTTCAATTTATAAATTTAGTACCAGTCTGCGTTAGTGCCAGCAGTTGGAGTAGATTATTGATTTTATGATCCCTAACATTCATTATTTTTTAATTGCCATTTAACTATTTTCTAACTTAGGTTGAACATTTTTTTGGTTTCAATTTATAAATTTAGTACCAGTCTGCGTTAGTGCCAGCAGTTGGAGTAGATTATTGATTTTATGATCCCTAACATAGATTATTTTTTAATTGACATTTCACTATTTTCTGACCTAGGTTGAACATTTTTTTGGTTTCAATTTATAAATTTACTGCCTCAGAGCCGTGATGGCTCAGGGGATAGAGCGTTCGCCTTCTCATAAGGTGAACCGGGTTCAATCCCTGAGGTGGTTGGTCGATACGAATTAGCATCCGGTTTGCACCGACATAAAAATATCCTCTGTAGTAGACAGATCATGGTTGAGACTCCCTTTGCCATTAGGCTGAATGTGGGAGGTCCTCGTGGTCTTTCTCTCCATGTAACGCCAATGCGAGTTAGTTCCATAAAAAAAGTTCTCCATGAAGACAAAATTTTCCAATATTTGATCCAGGAGTTTTCTTGTCTTCTGGATTGGGTTCAAAGTTATAAGGTTACGGAGTTGAACATTAGTAGTCGCAAATTTGAAAATTGAGTCGGCTGTTCAACGACGGTTTTAAAATATAAAATGAAATATACTGTCTCAAAATTAATTTCTCCCAAAACTTGATCCAGTAGTTCCCTTGTCTTCTGAATTAGGTTCAAAATTACAAGGTAACGGAGTTGAAAATTGGTAGTTGTAAACTGAAAATACTGTCAACTGCTCAACGACGGTTATTAAATAAAACGAAAAATATACTGTCTCGTTTTACTTCCCTTTGTTTTAAATCTTAAAAGTCTTAAAAATAAAATTAAAAAAATAAATAAAAAAACACACACACAATACGGACTCATTAAATTTTTCTTTGGTCATTTGCAGTTATCTAAGATAAAATTTTTATTTTTGTTCAAACGGAAAAAAAATTGCTTTTTAAGGATTACATATTTGTTTTCCTAAACTTGACGAACTTAAGATTAGAATGATTAAGACTGATAAAATTCATTCAAAAAATGTGTTCAACACAAATAATAATGATCATCATGAGATACAAATTCCCTGATGTTATAAGCAAAAAAATTTTACAATTTATGCAAATGGAACTAAGCTTTAAGATTCTACTTCTTAGTTTGCCAAATTATAAAATGTAAAAAATGTTCCATAAAATACCATCGAAGTCCAAAAACATAATCAGACGCGCATTACAAACTTGTTTGGCTACGAGGGAAAATTGATACAACTTGAAAGGAAAATATTATGAAAGCTTTCAGAAATATTAAATGTTTGATATTAGTGTAATTTTAGATCTTCAACACAAAAGTAGTGTCAAAATTTATTTTCTTTACTCGGAAAAATATTTAATTGGTAACTACAAGGGCAAAAAATTCCTGGTACAGTTTCCGCAGTCTATGATAATGTTAATCTTTAAAAAAACATCATTCTTTTACTAAAAAAATTATGCGGTATTTAAACCATTAATTAGGTAGTATTTTTAGTAACTGTTAACCAAAAATGCTTGTTTTTAAGATTATAGTTGTCATTAGAACATTTTTTAAAAAAAAAACCCTACAGAGCTGAAGAATAAATTTAACTAAACATGTAATGCTCTAAGGTATGATAAAGTGCAAAATAATAGAGATATATATTTCTGGAACGATACTTTAACATGTATTTTAGAACCTAAAGTAAAGTAAAACAAAAGATTAACTCAAATTAATATTTAGGAGATAAAAAAAACGATTTCCTTGTTTCAACTCTAGCAGATTTTTGTCTATATTATTTTGAAATCATTAATTTATATATATGTTTACTAAGATAACAAAAAAAAAATAGTAGAACACTCTGATTAAGTACGAATTCTGTAGCGGTAAATATCAAATCTATGGAAATCATGTTTCATTATGTTTCCCGTTTTTCTAACAGTTAAAGAAATTCACGCTCTAACAATGACTATTGAGTTAAATTTTAATATTCACTTTTATGTGTACACTATTGTTTCAACAAAGCTAATAGATGTAGTTTATCAATTAAGTTAAAAGTAACACTTATTAGCTATAAAAAAACTCATTGTTTCAGAATAATTTATACAATAAGTAAAAATCATTATGGCATTCATTTTGTGTTTTGAATTCTTGACAGAGGGTTGTGTTTTGAAGGTGAGTAAAACTTGTTATATAATAAGATGAAATTAAAGAAGCTGTTTGCTGGATATGAAAATGCAAAAACTGAGTCAAAATGCTCTTCAGATTGGAGCAAGTTTTTTCAAAATAATATAAATTTTATATATATTATATTTTAACGTAAATTTTATTTACATAACTTGCATTTTCTATCTATATTATATAATATATCACTTGCATTTTTCTATCGATATTATATAATATTACTTTGATGTGTAATGCAAGGCATGAGTTTTCTCTCTGGCAGGGTTCAGAACGGAATGAGAGGTAGAACGGAATCAAAGGTAATTAGAGGAAGCAGGAAATAAGAGAGAGTGTATGATAAGAGAACCAACATCAAAGGAAAAGAAAAGAAGAGTATTCTCAAATTTAAACGAAATTTCTTTTTAGGTAATATCAAATTGATTTATATCACTTGCATTTTTCTATCTATAATATATAATATTACTTTCATGTGTAATGTAAGGCATGTGTTTTCTCTCAGGCAGGGTTCAGAATGGAATGAGAGGTAGAACGGAATCAAAGGTAATTAGAGGAAACAGGAAATAAGAGAGGCTGTATAATAAGAGAACCAACATCAAAGGAAAAGAAAAGAAGAGTATTTTCAAATTTAAGCGAAATTTCTTTTTAGGTAATATCAAATTTATTTATATCACTTGCATTTTTCTATCTAAATTATATAATATTACTTTCATATTTAATGCAAGGCATGTGTTTTCTCTTTGGCAGGTTTCAGAATGGAATGAGAGGTAGAACGGAATCAAAGGTAGTTAGAGGAAACAGGAAATAAGAGAGGCTGCATGATAAGAGAACCAACATCAAAGGAAAAGAAAAGAAGAGTATTCTCAAATTCAAGCGAAATTTCTTTTTAGGTAATATCAAATTTATTTATATCACTTGCATTTTTCTATCTATATTATATAATATTACTTTGATGTGTAATGCAAGGCATGTGTTTTCTCTCTGGCAGGCATTAGATGGAATGAGAGGTAGAATGGAATTAAAGGTAATGGGAGGAAACAGGAAATAAGAGAGTCTGTATGATAAGAGAACCAACATCAAAGGAAAAGAAAAGAAAAGTATTCACAAATTTAAGCGAAATTTCTTTTTAGGTAATATGAAATTTATTTATATCACTTGCATTTTTCTATCTTTGTTATATAATATTACTTTGATGTGTAATGCAAGGCAAGTGTTTTCTCTCTGGCAGGGATTAGAATGGAATGAGAGGTGGAATGGAATCAAAGGTAATGAGAGGAAACAGGAAATAAGAGAGGCTGTATGATAAGAGAACCAACATCAAAGGAAAAGAAAAGAAGAGTATTCTCAAATTTAAGCGAAATTTCTTTTTAGGTAATATAAAATTTACTTATATCACTTGAATTTTTCTATCTATATTATATAATATTACTTTGATGTGTAATGCATGGCATGTGTTTTCTCTCTGGCAGGGTTTAGAATGGAAAGAGAGGAAGAATGGAATCAGAGGTAGTGAGAGGAAAGAGGAAATAAGAGAGACTGTATGATAAGAGAACCATAATCAAAGGAAAAGAAAAGAAGAGTATTTTCAGATTTCAGCGAAATTTCTTTTTAGGTAATATAAAATTTATATTACTTCCTTCAATCTATTTGATATCATTTAACTTTGATGTGTAATTCAAGGCATGTGTTTTATTTCAGGGAGAGTTTAGAATGGAATGAGAAGTAGAATGGAATCAGAGGTAATGAGAGGAAACACGAAATAAAGGAGGATGTAAGACTGGAGAGTCACCATTAAAGGACGGGAAAAGAAGAGTATTCTCAGATTTCAGCAGAATTTCCTTTTAGGTAATATAAAAGTTTTATTACTTCCTTCAATCTAAACTCCTGTTTGTGAAAATTGCAACACCATGAAGGATTCGTTATAATTGAATGAAATTTAATACACAGGTGAGTGGTAGCAGTACACATAAATGATTAAACTTTAAAAGCAAACAAACAATAACAAGAGATCAAAATCAGTATTTTGTGTAGCCACCACGCTCCGCAATAAGTGCTGCCGCGCGACGTGGCATGGAGTCAAGCAAACTTTGAATGTGTGTCTGAGGAAGAGAATTCCGTACTGTTTGTATGCGTACCCAAAGCTCGTCTGTAGAAGCAACAGGACGAGGATTACGAGCGAGACGCCGACCAAAGAAATCCCACACATGTTCAATCGGTAGCAAATCCGGGGAATACGCCGGCCAAGGAAGAAGTTGTACCTGTCACGATGCAAGTACAGCAGCCGGACTATCCGAATTCTCAAATTCGCTCTTACATTTTAATATCTTGGTACCCGTCATCACACGGTGCTCCAGATTGCGGGCCTCCCCGTCGATGCAAGTGTTGCCATCCTGACGTTGCTAAGCCAAAGTGCCAATTCTTTACTGATGCGGATCACGTACGCACACAAGGTCTTCAGTATCACCTGGATGCCCCCCTACGGGGCGGGAAAGGGTTAAGCTGCGCTTAACCTGTCACGATGCAAGGAAGGATTGAACAGTCCTAGCAATATGAGGGCGGGCGTTGTCCTGTTTAAATACAGCACCCGGCAAAGCTTGAAGGATGGGAACTGCTTGGGGCTGTAGAACTTTACTGAATTTCCGGTTGCTGTTCAGATTACCCACAATTCGTAACAATTGAGATCTTCCATGATATGCTATAGCTCCCCAGACCATAACTCCATGTGTTCGCCCACTGTGGCGTTCGATAACGCACTCCGGAAGATGGCGTTAACCGACATAGCGTCTGACACGAATGCGGCCATCATGATACCCCAAATTGAAGCGAGATTCGTCAGAAAACACGACAGGCTGCCAATCAGCACGCCTGTCCCTATACTGGTTGGCCTATTGCAGCCGCAGATGGCGAAGGTTCAGCGTGAGGGGGATCCTGTATAAAGGAGTCCTTGCGCGCAGTCCAAGCTGAAGCAAACGTCTACGAATTGATAAAGCACACAATGAAACACCTGTAGCTATTGACCACCGTGCTGCCAGTTGTCTAGAAGGAGCCGTACGGTCCGTTAGCGCAACGCCGAACAGGTGTTTATCATCGCGAGCTGACGTGACATTTCGGGGTCCACTCCTGGATTTCCGAGTTGTCCGACACTCGTCCATCCACTGCTTTCAAACACGCATCACTGTGCTACTGTTACGCTACACACGAGCGGCTACTGCACGATAAGACAATCCAGCTTCACGAAGGCCGATGATTCTCCCCCTTTCTAACTCCGTAAGTTGTTGAAATCTCGCTCTCTTTCGTCGAAGAGGCATAAGTAACGTCTGAGCTAACGTTTACCACTAGCAGATAACCACCGATAATCATACACGCCTCGCTACAGCCGTCTATTTATTCGGATCCANCTGGTTGGCCCATTGCAGCCGCAGGCGGCGAAGGTTCAGCGTGAGGGGGATCCTGTATAAAGGAGTCCTTGCGCGCAGTCCACTCTGAAGCAAACGTCTACGAATTGATGAAGCACACAATGAAACACCTGTAGCTATTGACCACCGTGCTGCCAGTTATCTAGAAGGAGCCGTACGGTCCGTTAGATAGGATATAAGACAGGAGAGCCAACAGCAAAGGACGGGAAAAGAAGAGTATTCTCAGATTACTCTTTTTTTATGAAATTTATATTACTTCCTTCAATCTCTTTTTATATCATTTAACTTTGATGTGTAATGCAAAGAACGTGTTTTCTCTCCGGCAGAGTTTAGAATGGAATGAGAGGTAGAATGGAATCTGAGGTAATGAGAGGAAACACGATATAAAAGAGGATGTAAGACAGGAGAGCCACCATGAAAGGACGGGAACAGAAGAGTACTCTCAGATTTCAGCAGAATTTCCTTTTATGTAATATAAAATTTATACTACTTTCTTCAATCTATTTCATATCATTTAACTTTGCGTAATGCAAAGTACGCATTTTCTCTCTGGCAGGGATTAGAATGGAATGAGAGGTAGAATGGAATCAGGGGTAATGAGACGAAACTCGAAATAACAGAGAATGTAGGATAAGAGAACCAACATCAAAGGAAAAGAAGAGAAGAGTATTCTCAGATTGAAGCGAAATTTCTTTTTAGGAAATTGAAAATTTATTTATATCACTTGCATTTTTCTATCTATGTTATATAATATTACTTTGATGTGTAATGCAAGGCTTGTGTTATCTCTCTGGCAGGGTTTAGAATGGAATGAGAGGTAATGAGAGGAAACAGGAAATAAGCACACGAAACACGATTGAACATTCAATCTGAGTTGTATCATTTAACTTTTAAGGTGTGTAACGCAAAGCATTTTTTGCTTACACTTGTAGGAATTGAAAAGGGAAAGAATTCTCTAAAGGAAAAATATTGTCTTTGAGAAAAGTAAACTTCTGAGGTGGCGTAAAGCAAAGCATTTTTTTCTCTGTCTGGTATGATTTGAAAAAGGAAAGAATTCTCCAATGGAAAAAGGTTGTCTTTGCGAAAAATAAGTAAAATTAACCAAAATTCTGCAAATTTTAATTTGTAGTTTTCTACTGTAATTTTTTCTTTTTTTTTCCTTTAATGATTTGTCCGGAGCAGTTGGCCTCTATAATATCTGATCCTCTATAATATTGTCCGGAGCAGTTGGCCTTAAATAAATATATAATATCTGATAGTCGTACAAAGAAATTGTTTAGTGCTGGCAGAATTAAACAAATTAGAGTACGTTCTATTGTTATTACACTACTACTTTCAAATTTGTGAGGTGCCAAAGATTTTCGGGCTCACATGCATGAAAAAAAACCATTCTGCATCACTAATGCAAAATTTGATACGCGTGATGCAAAATTCTATAATCACAGCGACGTTCTGGCTCATGGGATAAGATA